ATAGATAGATAGATAGATATAGAGATAGATAGATAGATAGATAGATAGATAGATAGATAGATAGATAGATAGATAGATAGATAGATAGATAGAGAAAGAGAGAGAGAGATTGAGAGGATAGATGGATGGATGGGTGGATGGATGGATGTGTGGACTATTGCTGTCGGTGGAGGAATTCGTTCCTACAAGTCCCAGCGCTCCTCCTTATGGCCCTTGCCGGCGGAGGCTGCCGGGAGTTGTAGTCCGGTTGCAACCTGGAAGGCTCGCGGCGCCTCTGGCCCTTTAAGGGGGCGCGTCCCTTCCCTTCCCCTCCCCGTCCAGCCCAGCCGAGCCAATGTTAAAGGGCGTCGCTTCGCCCTTCGCTCCGGTTCCTCGAAGGCTGGCGCGGCAATAAGAGCCACCATCACCACCCGACCATGCACCCGTTGCTGCTCCGGAGATGCCCTGCGGCTGCCCTGCGGCTCTTAAACGCGCCGCTTCCCCGCACCAGCCTCCCGCAGCGATGCTACTGCGCCGGTTCTGCCCAGCGCCGGGGGCTGCTCTTCCGACAGGTGAGCTCCGACAGGTGGGCACCCCCAGGCGCTGCCCCTTGGCCGGACTTCAGGAGCCCTTTCGAGGATGGGCTTCGCCTTGGCTGCCTTTGCTTTCACTTCGGGTTTCGGGCTTGCCCGGCCGGGGCAGGGAGGGGAGGATGGGTATTGTAATCCAAGGCAGGTGGAGAAAGGCATGGGGTGTGGGGAAAGAGGTAGGATAGGACGTGTTGCCTGGATTTGGGGATTGGGGAAGGGGGGGGGAGTCAACGTTTCCTCTATAAAAAACCTCAGGGCTCTTAACTGCTTTATAAACAGGAAATTCAAAGCTTTGGGGATGTTGGAGTGCTTGTGGAAGAGGAGTTTCCCATTTTGGTTATCTTATTTAAAAGATGGGAATTGAAAAGTATTAAAATGAACTTTGCACCATCCCAAAGATGGTTCTGGAAGGCTTTTAAAATTTGCTTTCCCTTTCCAGTACAGAGTAGGGGGGATGCTACAAGTCTTATTAGTTAGCAATAGCCCTTAGACTTATATACTGCTTTACAGCCCTCTCTAAGCGGTTTGCAGAGTCAGCCTGTCCCCCCCCCCCCAACAATCTGGGTCTTCTTTTTATCCAACCTCGGAAGGATGGAAGGCTGAGCCAACTTTGAACTGGGTAAAATCGAACTGCTGGCAACCAGCAGTCAGCAGAAGTAGCCTGCAGTACTGCATTCTAACCACTGCACCACTATGGCTTCCTTCCTTCCTTCCTTCCTTCCTTCCTTCCTTCCTTCCTTCCTTCCTTCCTTCCTTCCTTCCTNCTAAACCTTGGTTTGCTCAATTACAGATAAATGAAGCTTATGCATCCTTCTAAACCTTGGTTTGCTCAATTACAGATAAATGAAGCTTATGCATTCTTCTAAACCTTGGTCTGCTCAATTACAGACAGGTAAAGTTATACATCCTACTAAACCTAAGTTTGTTCAATTACAGCCAGGTAAATCTCCCAAACCATCATGTCAAACCCTGGTGGCTGGGTCAAAAAGCCAGATTATAGCTTGTGATCACAGCCTCTCTTCTCAGTTCCCACTCCAGAGGACTCTTATTTCCTATCTTAGTTTTCTTCCAAGAAAGCCAACGATGCTAAATTCTAATTTCCTTCCATATTTTCTATTTTTCATCCCCGCTCAAATTCAACCAAAGTTATTTGGGTGATTTCAAAATTAAATCAAACATGCCTTTTTTTTAAAATCAATAACGTCTATTTTTGGGTCACTCTCAACTCGCTGGTTGGGAATACGGAGAGTTGTAGTGCCACACCCTGGGAAACCAGAACGGGGCAACAATAGAACACGGGGGTTAAGTTGCGGAATAAGAGGAGCATAATGTCATGAGGATTTCTTGCAATTAGTCTTTGTAATCACGCAGCTGTGGATCTTCTCCCGATCCCCGCCTTTAGCAATCATGATCACGCAACTGGGGCCCAGTTCACACAAGACGCCCCCTTTTCTGGGGATTTGCGCAAGAATCCACAACCATAAAACAAAAACAAAAAAACCCTAACCAAACTGCATTTACACACGGATTGCATTCATACCCAGCAGGCTAAATCCAACTAACCAAGGTTTGCAAGCTGGTTGCGAATGCAAACCCCGCGTTTGCTTATCCAGGTTGTGTGAATGCAGCCCCGCCGGAGTTTGCACCCGATCCTAAAAAGCGGTTGGCACTTCTAACCCCCCCCCCCAAAGGTCGCCTGCAATTGTCCACGTGAGCTTTCTTAGGATAGCGAAGCAAGCGGAAGAAAGGGAAATGGGGAAAAAAACTCGTTGCAAGTTATGTATGTTTTTTTAAAAAAAATGCATGCCCGTTTTTAAGGACAGAACGAAGCGCGGAGGGAAACGTTTTGCAAAAACACGCAACTCAGCCACGCGAGCGAAACGAACACACGGATTCTACCTGCAGGGGAATCAACTGAGCCAAACCTCGCTGAGAAAATCTTCGCCTGGACACAACCACGTTCCGGGATGATTCCCCCCTCCGTTCCTTGGCCTTATAGTTTCGCCCAAGGAAAAAAAAAGGGCAAAGAAATGACGTCGAAAGGCAGCCGGTAAGGGACAAAATGCAACCTCATTTGTTTTTAAGATGCGCCTCCAGAACTTTTTCGGAAAGTTGCGCGGCGAGTTAAATTAGTGTCCCGGTCCCGTAGAGTTTTTTTCTTCTTTTTCTTTTTCCACTGATCCTGAGTTTTTGCAATAAAGGATATATGTTTGTGTTTTTATTGTTATAGTTATCATGTACACTGAAGACGGCATTTAATTTTGTTGTGCCATGTGCAATGACAATAAAGTGAACTAAACGAATCGGGCAGTTGGAAAAAGTGAAGTTTCACCCGGGCTTAGCTTGCTTCAAAACCTTTTCAGCAATTTTAGGGAACAGTTTGCTAGTTAAGAAAAAGGACGAGGTTTGATTATTAAGTAGAAATGATAGTACCTTTTAGACTGTATTTAAATTACCACTGAATGTTTATCCATTAACATAAATTTACTATGACACTAATAGAGAAATAATAACCCTAGTTAGGATAAATAACCAGACCATAGAAATGCTAATATACATTCTGGGTGATAGCAATAGCAGTAGACTTATATACCGCTTCATAGAGATTTCAGCCCTCTCTAAGCGGTTTACAGAGAGTCAGCATATTGCCCCCAACAATCTGGGTCC